TCATCCATGAACAGGTTGATGGACATTTGGGGTGTTTGTACTTTGGAGCTATTATGAAAGCTGCTGCTAGGAACATTTGTGTACACATTTTTGTGTGGACAGGTGGGTATATATAGAACTAGAACTGCAGTATCATATAGCAAATCTGTTGAGAAACTGCCAGACTGTTTTCCAAAGCAGCTGAACCATTTTGCATTTTCACCAGCAGTGCAAGAGGGTTCCAATTTCTCCACCTCCTCACCAATATTTATTATATGCTTTTGGTTCTATATAGGCTTCCCAGTAGACATGAAATAGTATTTCACTGTGCTTTGTATTTGCTTTTCCCTGATGGCTAATGATGTTCGGCTCTGTGTGTGTGTGTGTGTGTGTGTGTGCGCGCGCGCGGGCGCGTGAGCTCATTAGCCATTTGTATATTTTCTTTGGAGAAATGTCTATTCAGAAACTTTGCCCATTTTTACTTTTTTCTATTTTTTTTCCAGTTAAAAAAAAAGAGGATATTTATTGATTTTCAAATATTGAACCAGCTTTGCATACCTGGGATAAATCCCACATGTGTGGTATATATTTACATTTTACATAGATTTTACTACATTCTGTCAAGGATTTTTGCATCTATCTTCATGAGAAAATGATGTGTAGGTTTCTTATAATGTCTTAGTTTTGAAATTAGGGCAATGCTTGCTTTGTAGAAAGAATCATGAAGTATTCTTCCATCTGTAGCAGGTTGTTAAAATGGTATAATTTCTTCCTTAAATGGTGAGAATTCATCAGTGAACCCATCTGAGACTGATGTTCTCTACTTTAGAAGTTTTTTTTTAAATCTAGTTCTTCACTAGATAGAGTGCTAGTCAGATTGTCTCTTTCTTCTGGGAGTAGATAGTATACATCTGTTTGTTCATTTTATCTAAGTTATCAAATTTGTGGGCATGTAGCTATTCAAATTCCCTTATAATATATACTATTTTAGTTATGTCACTTTCATTTGTACTCTTACCAATTTTTTTCTCCTCTCCTTTTTTCTTAGTTTCCAAAGCTAGAGGTTAAATGATTTATTGGTCTTTAAAAAAAAACCCCACTTTTTAATTTATATCCTTTGTTAATTCCTTCTTTAAAATTTTATTGATTTCTGTGTTAATTTTTATTATTTATTGTCTTTTGCTACATTTCAAGTTCTCTAGTTTCCTAAGATGGAATCTTAGATTATTGACTTTAGTTAGGTCATTTTTTTCTTTCTAGTATGTACATTCAAAGCTATACATTTTCTTCTAGGCACTGCTTTTGCTACAACCTACAAAATTCATTCTTATATTTAATTTTAATTCAAAATATTTTAGAATTTCTCTTGAGATTACTTTTTTGAGTCATGGTCTTGGAAGTGTATTCGTTTATCAATCCCTATTTGGGGATTTTTAAGTGAAAATAACTACTTTATTTTTTAAAAAAATACTTTGCTAGAAGGGATGAGTACTGTCATTTACATGATCATAATCTTTAAATGACTAGGGTTTTTTTGGCCAAGAAGTACCATTTAAATGAACAACTTGAAATAGTCAATAACTATATAAAAAATTTCAACATTGTTGGATGGTATGGTTTATCTGGATGTCCTCCAAAGCCTCACGTGCTGATAGGTGGTGCTTTTAGGAGGTGATTGGATCATGGATCCATGATAATCATCAGTGGGTTAGTCCACTGATGAGTTTATAGCTGACTTGCTATTAGGAGGTAGGTCTCTGGGGGCTTTTCTATTTTTTTTTTTTGAGACAGGGTCTCACTAGTTCAAGCTGGCCTTGACATTTGCTCACTTTTAGATTGCTATTTACTTTTTTGAGATGTAGGGGTTTTTTAATACATTATAGTAAGTCCTGTACTTTGTCAGATATATCATTTATAAATATTTTCTCCTATTCTTTGGATTGCCTTTTCAGTGTCTTGATGTTCTTTGATGCATAAAAATTTAAAAATCTGATGATTCCAATTTTTTCTTTTTTTTCTCATGGTGCGTATGGCTCCCACTTTGAGGGACATCCAAAAAGTACAATTTGGAATTCTGGAAGCACTGAGATTGTAGAGTTTAGTAGGATTTTTTCGGATTATCTTCCAGGAGGATTTCTTCCTAGTTCGGGGTTTCCTTCCCTCCTTGAAGCAAACTCTGGCTGCTTCTCAGAGTCAGGGAACACAGCCTGGAGGGATCTTTGCTGTGATTACAGCCCCTCCCTCTCCTGAGGTCTACCACAATAGAGCAGCTGAAATGACAGTTTGGAAATGTCCTTTATTGTACAAACTCAATGGCCTTTGTCTCTGGGATTTGAAATTCTCAGGCAAGTGTTGGCAGTGGAGAATCAGGAAGGAGGAGGGGAGGGAAGGGATGAGGGACTCAGCTACTGATTTCCAGTGAGTCATCTGGTTGTTTTGGTTTTCTCACACATAAAATGGGGTGAACACCTCCATTTCCCCATCTCAGTGGGGGTACTGTGAAGATGAATGCATCTGTATTTGTCCGGACACTTTGAGATCTTAGATTAAAGTCATTACTGAGATTCAAGGTATTATTATAATAAATGATTTAATAGCAGGGTGAGGGCACTGAAGCAAGAATTGGTGGGAAGGAGGGAAGTTCAGACTTGTGAAGAGGCTACAGCTTGGACCTGCAGGGCCCAGACCGAGATTTTTATCCATGGAAGTGTAATTGTGTGATTTTTCACAAACTGGTTTGTTTCATCTGACTTCAGCTTAGCTTTACTGAGTGCTTCCTTCATGACTTCTGCCACAGGGAGATTACAATCTTTTCAGAAAATAGGTGATATAAAGCAAGACAAGAAAGCAGAGGAAGTGGTAGTTAAGAGCAGATTATATTATTATAATATAATATATTATATTATACTTATTATAACATATCATACTTATTATAACTCCCAGGCCTACCACCCCCTAGTAGGACCTTGCCTCAGTTTCTTCCCTAACGGCAACTGTTCTTGTGCATTTAGAATAATGGCTAATGCGTGCTGGGCAATCCCACACTGGACCCTTGCAGACAAGACTCTTGTGGGACTGTGCTTTGGCTGTTTATGTGATCATCAGCAAGTTGCACCATCCTGATCTGAGTCCTATCTGCAAACTGGGGTTGAGGCTACAGCAACCTCCCACAGTGGCTGGAGACCCAGGGACACCGCAGTAATAGATGGCACAGGCAAGGTGCACGTAGTGTCCCCCAGATCTCGGTTCTTTTTTTTTTTTTTTGTACTGGGGATCGAACTTGGGACCTTGCGCTTTTGAGGCAGGCGCCGGAACCACTGAGCTAAATCCCCGGCCAGACCTCGGTTCTTACTACTGTATCCAACACTCTGCTGGCTGAGGATGAGGGTGCACCTACCCACAAGAGCCTGCTTAGTCAAGGGGCTTCTGAGGGAGCTGTAATTTGAGGTGGGTAACAAGGGCCCGGTAGAATTCCGGTGATCAGAGAAGAAAGCAAAAACTACGCCAGGTGGAGGGCTGAGCAGGGCCTGCTCCTGCAGGGCAGGAAAGGACTGGGCTTTCTGCTTTCCTGCCAGCTTCGAGCCCAGCGGGCTTCGTCCAGTGGAGCCTCCAGTCCCCTTCGGCAGTCTCCCAGCTCTCACGGGCAGCGGAGTCCGTGGCTCCGCAGGCCTAGGACAGACTCTCCCTCCCTGAGGAATGTGGGCCCGCCGTCGGGGCACACCCACCCCACCCCCACCCCCACCCCCATCCCCAGAGAGGCAGCTGGCTGTCCTCACCCCACCCTCTGCCGGGATCGAGTTTCAAAGTCACCTGAAAGCCATTTCCTCTCGCCCCGCCCCTCCCTGTAAATCACCTGGACCTTGCTTTTTGCCTGGAACAGTTTTCTTTTGGGGGAGGAGGCTTGTTGTTTTCAGTCAGAACTCTATAAACCGTTTACTATATATACACACTTGTCTACACTTGCATGTCAAATATACCCACTGGTGCTGATGTGTCCACTTCCTCCTCCCAAGGTAGAGGTGACAAAGGTCCCCACCCTGGGCTCCGCTCCCCTGGGAACATCTTTCTTCCAGGATCTTTGTTAATGCATTATCATAAGACTTTAGATTTATGCTCACGTCTGTGTGGAATGTCCCCGTCGCCGCCCCTCACCCTCCAATTTCCAGGTGTGACTTCCCTCGTGCACATGATCACAGTCTGGGCACGGCACAGGCTGGGTATGGCGGCGCACTGTTGTAATCCCAGTAACCAGGTAGGCGGAGGCAGGAGGTTTGCCATGAGTTCGAGGCCAGCCTGGACTACATAGTGAGTTCAAGGCCAGCCTGAACTACAGAGCCAGTCCCTGTCTCAAAAAACCAAATAAATAAAAAATAATAAACAAACAACAAGACTAAACCAGACGAGCCTGTCTTTGTTTACAAAGTGCCTCTATCAGCCAGGTTTCTCCATCTTGTTCGTCCTAGTAACAGTCTGTTCTGGGGCCCTCACCCACAAGTTATGAGCGTCTTTATTTCTTTCCCATCAGCTTCTGCAAGTTTGGATTTTATCTGTAAAGAACCCGCGTAGTTTCGGTGAGGAATGTGAGACACGTATTTCTGACTCACAGCCGAGGTGACCTGCCCAGGTGGGGCCAGGACCTCCACGTCCGACCTCGACGGGCGCCTCGCTGGGGACCGAAGCCCCCTCGGCTGGGCCTGCAGTTCCCAGACCGCACAGGGCGGGGTGAGCGGTCCGCCGCCCTCTCGGGAGGCGGTGGTGGAGGCTCGGCGACACCAAGGTGACCTCACCACGTGCGACCCGGTGTATCCAGGCTGCCCGGGAGGCGCTGGCGACCGCGCTCGCCCCACCTGCGGGCCTTGATCTTGAAGGCTGCAGCCTTCCAGCCCCGCCGAGTTCC